GGAAACCAAGGAGTTAGGGACTGAGCCCTTGCTTTTAACCTCTGGGCATGTATCCATATGACCCCTATTTTACAGATAGAATAAATGAGCCCTTGGAGTATTTGGAGTCTGTTCCAAGGTTACTTAATTAGTGCATGATTGAGCCAGGACAAGAAATCCCAAATCTTCCAACCACCAAGCCAGTGCGCTCTCCAGCAGACTCAGAGTGGCGGTCCCATTAGGTCAGCAACTCTGACATCCTCAGTCCACTGTGGGAGCTCACTGTAATGGTGATAGAGCCAGATTTTGGTAGTGGCATTTTAATTTGATGTACACGATCCAGCTGAATTCGCATTAAATTAGGACAGTGTGTGTCTGGAGACTAAACTGGTATTTGTTATCTCAGCCATATTCACGTTGTTTTCTCCACCTGCATTCTTCTTTTCTTTATTTTAAAAATGTTTTCATTGATTTTAGAGAGAGGGGGGAAGGGAGAAGGATATAGAAATCAGTGTCACCTGCACGCCCCTTGCTGGTCTTCAAGCCTGAAACCTGGGTGTGTGCCCTACCTGGGAATTGAACCTGGGGACTTCTTGGTTCGTGGGTTCATGTTCAACCACTGAGCCACACCAGCCAGGCCACACCTGCATTCTTAGGTAGAGGAAAGTCATATGGACTTTTGACTGAGCTTTCTTCCCTACTTTACTGCCATAGTTTCTATGATATACTCAGAAAGTAGAAGTACCTCCTACAATTCAGATTATAGCAGTAGTAGCTGCTGTTTATTGTGTATTTTCTACTATACAACAAGTATTATGTTAAATACTTTGACACTTTTACAGATTTATTATTTGTCTTAAAAGAGATAAGTACAAACACAAACATTACAAATACAGTTTGAACATCTGATGTATACTTCTCTAATTGCATTTTTCTCCTAGCTTCTGACAAGTAACCACAATCGTAAGCTTAGTGATTATCATTCCCATGTTTTTTTTTTAATGAAAACATTCCTAGTTATCTATTTACGTCTAAGCAGTATATTGTGTAGTTTTTTTTAATCTTTTCAAAAATGGTATTTTATTGTAAGTCATCTATACCACTTGTATTTTTTCTTTCAGTGTTATATTTTTAAGAGTTATCCATATTGGGGAGTGTGTCTTTGATAAGTTTTTCAGTCTTATTTCTGCTACTATTTGAATAATTCATTGAACATGTGTACCAGTATTTATCATTTTCCTGTTAATGGAACAGTGCTGCTGTGGTGAGCATTCCTTGTACATGTTTCCTTGTACACAGAGTTTCCTAGGGTACTAGGAGTGGAATTACTATATAGTAGGACATATACATTTTTACATTTAACAGGTATTACCTAATTATTTCCTATGGAGGTTGATTTAATTTGCACTCTCTCATGCAGTGTCTGAGTTTTGATTACTTCATGTCCCAAAATAGCCCTTGGTGTCATCAAACTTTCCATCCTATTTATTGGATGTTTTATACTTTTCTTAAAATACATTTTTATTTAAGAGAGGAAAGAAGAGAGAGAGAGAGAGAGATCAATGAGGAGAGAGATTCATTGATTGGCTGCCTCCTGCATTGCCCCCCACTATGGATTGAGCCCACAACTTGGGCATGTGCCCTTGACTGGAATCTAACCCAGGATCCATCAGTCCACAGGCCGACGCTCTATCCACTGAGCCAAACTGGCCAAAGCGTGTTATACTTTTTTACAGGCCAACCCCCCCCCCCCCCCCCACTAATTTGGTGTAAGCCTAACAATGTCAGGAAAAGAGATTGAGACTAAGAGAAGTTAAATAACTTGTTCAAGATAGTACTACTGGCAGATAGTTTACCCTGGATTAGATGGTAGCTCTGCCAACACTAAAGCCAGCATTCCTCTGCACCTCCCTACCTGGGTAGGGATCCTGGTGCTGACAGTAATAGAGTCCACTCAGTAATGTTAGGATTACTTAATGGAGTTCTGTGCATTGTGTCCTGCTTTTTCTTTCATTTCTATAACTGTTTCTTGAGAATTTCCACTAGCTAGCCTTCCTGTTTTTAGAAAACTCTTAAGGGGTTTGTTCTAATAGCAAGCCTGGCTCTGGCCAATTTGTACCTGCTCTCCATGTTCTCTGTCAGTGTATTGAGAGCTCACTGTCCTGACCCAAGAGGGTCACAGTGGAGAACCTTTTCCTTTTTCTAATTCAGGAGCTTCTAAGGATACAGAACTGCCATCATAGGATGTGTTTCCTAGTGGACCTTGGGTTCCTTTTTGTCATCACCTAGTAGGAAGACAACAAACAAATGAGAACGTAGATTTGTAAAATGGTACCTGTTTGCAGCTAAAGCTACTTTTCAGAACAAATGTGATTGTCTCTGCTTAGCCAGAGATCCAGTATCATTCGATTTTTACCTTAGGTGAGCAAGATTGCTGTTGGCACGGCACCTTCTTTTTCATTTAACTTTGTATTGAAGTATAGTAAATTTACAGGAGTATGTGTGGTTTTGATAAATTGTTGCTGTTTTACTTTTGCTGTTAGTGGAAGAATCAGTTGAATGAAAGTACTGCTATTATTTATGTATAACTCGTTTAATTTTCAAAACTTGAGCTCACGAATCAGCACCCAATCAAAAACAGAACATTACCAGCATCTCACCAGCTCTCTTTGTGCTCGTTTGTAGTCACTCCCCAGGGTAACCTCTGCTCTGCCTTTCAAACCCAGATTAGTTTTTGTTTGTATAAGTGAAATGATAAAGTGTATATACCCTTTTGTGTCTGGCTCCTCTTATTCAGCCTTAAAGTTGTGAAGTCCATCTATACTATTGCATATAAATAGTGGATTTTTCATTCTCTTTGCTGTATTGTATTCTGCTGTGGTCTTTTGGCTCATTTAATATGACGTTTCCAGTATTTTGCCATTGATCCATGTCCTAGTGTTTTTGGTGTATGCTCCTGCTTTTATTTCTGTATTTTAAAGTGGACCTAAAGGTAAAGAGTAGAGATTAGAATGGTAAGATATTCAGGTAAGTTAAAATCAAAACAAGGATGAGCTAGAGCTGGTTAACCTGAAAGAATTATTTAAAAATAATTTTTTAATTGTTGATAGTATTACAAATATCTTATTCTTCTTCCCCCCCCTTCCTTCCCCCCTCTAACCTGAAAGAATTTAAGTTAAGTTCTAGATGGACGCTATGATCTTGGTCTTCTTAAACTTTGACTTGAGACTTTTTTTTTTAACCAGAATATTAACTAGATTGTGAATAGGCAAATCAGATCACATTCAGATTTTTAAAAATCTAATTTCTAATATAAAATTTATAGCCTATTGAAATAAAACTTAATTTCTCTAAATTTGTGTGTCCCAATGTATTGATCTTTGTCCAAATATTGTAGGGATTTGAGCTTGTCATTGTAAATGACTAAGGAAGCTCTAATCCTAGTCTGTTGGAACAGAGGCTTTTAGAATCTTCACTTAGTGGAAAAGGGAAACACCATCAATTCTCAAGTTTCGCCATAAAATGAGAGAGCTTCAAGCCATGACCCGCAAAAAGTTTTTTTCCTGAAGAATTGAGACTCTGAGTACTTTTAAGAATATCCGAATCCTCTAGTAGATTGAGGGGGTGTCCCAGGATCCCACATATGCCTGATCTGGAATTGAAGTGGATCTTTGGTGAGAAACTGAGAACACTAGTTAAGAACCTGGAAAGCTGACTGGCAGACTACTGCTTGTGAAGATGAGTACATTGGATTGCTTTGTGACTTGAAAAAGATTAATGATCACTTACGCACTCCACTGGTTTTGTTAATTCAAGCATCCTCAGGCATGAATCTTAGCTCCAAATACTATGCAGTTCTCTGGGTCTAAAGACTGGGTCTAAGATTGCCTTCTGGTGGCGCTCTCTGCATAACCAATTTAGTAAAAAAAAAAAAAACGGACTCCAATGTCAGCTCATCAACCATTATTTTTTTAAAAATATATTTTATTGATATTTTACAGAAAGGAAGGAAGAAGGATAGAGAGCTAGAAACATCGATGAGAGAGAAACATCGACCAGTTGCCTCCTGCACACCCCCTACCGGGGATGTGCCCGCAACCAATGTATATGCCCTTGACCGGAATCGAACCCGGGACCCTTGAGTCCCCAGACCGACGCTCTACCACTGAGCCAAACCGGTTTCGGCTCATCAACCATTATTAACCCCAAGGGGAAAATTACATCAAGACTATGTTTTGCCATAGTTTCATGTTTGCAGATGAAAGTCAGAAGCCCATTTAAGCAGGAGCAATAATAAAATTTATTATTCTAAGTAGGATCTTAAGATACTTCTAGTCAAGGTGCCATTTTTAGAGTCACCAATTGTTGAAATTCCATCTCAGTCTCTAAATATCCTTATTAGAAAAGTAGTCCTTACTAGTTTGAGTATTTGCTTTGACATACATATTTCATCCTAATTTGATTAGTTATTAGATTTCATAAGAGATTTCATAGAGGTATTATCACTTGAGACTTATAAAAACAACACTGCATCTTATTTTTACCAATCTAGATCAAATTCATGAAAACTTACATCACATATTTAGTGCTGCAGCCAAGAATAGTACATTTATTTCCACAAGTAACTTGGCAAGTTCCAAAAAGATCCCTTAGTGGCTTTGCTAAATTAATTGTGTAGCATCTAGGGAATTAAAGTAAGTATGAATGAAGGCCATGTGGATCTAATTTTATCTTATAAGTGCTCATATTACCTATTATCTCAAGGGTTTTAAGAAGTATAATTTTTATAAAGCACTTTAAGTTCCTAAGGGAAAATTCTCCATAGTTTAAAATGTTACTGGTTTGTTCTATACTGTTTTGTTTATCCAGCTTCCATTCAAACATATATGACTAATCACTGTGTGTGTCAGCTTGAACTCTGTTTAAGTTTAACTTACTAGCAGTGTTGCAACAATTACAAAATTTTAAGTCCACATACTAGTAGTTTGTGTTTTCTGAGAAATGTTTTTTCTACCTTTCAGGTAACAAATATACTCTAGAGACTAGACCAAATCAAGAAGGCATTGATGTAAGACAAGAACTACTGAAATTCCATTCTACTTATTATTCATCCAACTTAATGGCTATTTGTGTCTTAGGTCGAGGTAAGAATCCTTAAACTTTTTTTCACTGAATTGGGTAATAAAAATTTTTCATTTTGACTTTTTCAAAATATTTGGAAGAAGGATATACAATATTACCTTTTATTTGCTCAGAGGTTTTTGAAAATGATCTCCTTGTAGAAAAAAAACTTAGGCGATTTTTTTTAATTGAGAACTGAAAAAAATAAAAATTAATCATAGGTGCTCTAGGCATATAAAATAAAGGAAGTATAAAAGAATAGATTGAAAGATATGATCTGATAATTCAACAGAAACAATATTAAAAGACAGATGATGATAAACTGGGAAAACTGGAATGTAAACAAGAAAGGTTTGATTTATATATCTATACTAATAAAAGGGTAATATGCTTACTAAACTGGACATCTTCTGGAGTCCTTCTAGACAAAGCCACTGTGGCGGAATCAGAGGCAGTTAAGGGCTATCAGGCCAATAGGGGAGAGCAGTTAGGGGCAATCAGGCTGGCAGGCAGAGGTGGTTAGGGGTGATCGATCAGGCCAGCAAGCACAGGAAGCACCAGGGAAGCCGAGGTAATGCTGGTGGCTTGAATCCTCACAGGATCAATTTTGGGAAAGTTGGTATGAGGCATTATCACTTAAAGAGGGACCAGAGCTTCTGCCCAACTGTCAACTTTGATTAACTGTGGGCCCTGGTCAGTGAGCAGACATGGGTAAATGCTGCCAAAAGCAAGACTGGCACTGCTTCTTCTTTGATGTGGTGTGGTTGGGCTACTACAACGTTCTGGGGAAGGGAAAGCTCCCAAAGCAGCCTGTCATCATGAAGGCCAAGTTCTTCAGCAGAAGAGCTGAGGAGAAGATTACGGGTGGTGGTGGGGCTTGTGTCCTGGTTGCTCAAAACTACATGGCGGGAAGTTCATGAAAATGTCCACAAGTTTAAAAAAAAGAAAAAGAAAAAAAGCCATAGGAGCCAGGATATAAAATGGGTCTAAGGAGTGAGGGCTAATTTAAAAAAAGTATACTTTATAATCTTATGTGTTTTCTAAATGTAGGTAGGTCAGGCATGTTCCATATCATTGGTATTTAGAGCCTCATCCTGGGAATAGATGCTTCAGCTGTATTTTTGTCTGTGTCCTATTAAAATAAAACATGATTTTAATAAGCACTTATTGGGCAGGTTAATGATAGCAGATGAATCAGACATGAGTGCTGCTCGGTGTTCTTGGTTTAGTGGAGATGACAGGATAGTGTCTAAAAGAAATGAGATGTTTCAGTTTCCCGATCGTGTACACATCGGTCTCCCAGTATGACTGACCTCCTGGGCTAAGCGCAGTAGACTTGATGAGGGGCCTGGGAGAGTAGTCCTTACAGTAAGTACAGAGGTGTTAAGAGGAAGCAGGATCTTTTAGAGAAGGGAGAAGAGTTACCATGTGGAAGATTTTTGTCACGAAGGGACAAAAGCATTTTTCTCTGTTCTCCCACAGGGCCGTCCCTCTAGTTGTGGTAGCACTAATTACCTGGACACTTGACAAATAGATACCTATCAAGTACAGGCACTGGGCACCAAGTCCTAGTGATGTAAAGACGAATGAGACCCACTTCCCTGATCTCTGGCAGCTCACAGCTTAGTGGTGAAGACGGATTGTGTAATATTGTATAGCTCCTTGTCTTTAAAAAGCCATATTGTGAATTTATGCTTTTAGGCTAGAAATATGAAAGGCACACCTGATAGAACCTTGCTCTAAAGAGCTTTGCCATCATTAGCACTCCAGGTCCACAAACCTTTATTGACTGCCCACCTTGCTTCATGTCTCATGTCCAATCTGTGTCTCTTTATATCAGAGCTGTCACTGACATCTCTTGCTCCATATATACCTGCTCCATTCTCGAATTCACTTGTCACATAACAAGCAGCCACTGATCTGCCTTTTATTTGGCTCTGGACATTTTAGGGCCCTTCAAAAATGTCAAATCAAAGTAAAAATAATATATATTTTGTAAATAAAGTACAAATGCTCACATTTATAGACCTAGAAGAGAATTTCAGACTATATGAAAGCAGTTCTCAAATAGTTATTAAGAACTCTAGAGAGTTCATGGAAAAGTTCAAAATGGGTCATGGAACAGCAAGGGACATTTCTTATTTGATCCAAATGCTTCCTAACAGTAACAAGTAATGAATGTTTATACCATTTATAAGTAACCTATTTTTGAGGAGACAGAATCAAGGTGAGTGGTTATCTTATTCATAAAAATATAACTTTTTTCACTTTTTCCTTTTTAGAATAATAGTAACTTTTATACATGGAAAAAATTAAAAATATAAAAGAGAAATCAAATTCTTCCTCATTCCATCCTATAACTACCATACCTTCTCTTTAAAGATAGTCACCTTAATTTAAAAAAAAGATAGTCACCTTATTTCTTATTATACTTCCAGTAGTAGAATTTTGTTAATATACTTACATATATGTATGTTTGTTAAAAAATTAAATAAGATACATCACATGGCGTTGTTTTATAACCTGCAGTTTTCACTTAATAGAGCATTGAGACATTTTCATATATAGATCTTTCCCTTATTAATGGCTGCATTAAATTCTACTGTTCAGACATTGCATAACATCTACACATTGGTAGATGTTAGGTCATTTCCAGTTTTTGTTGTTATAAACAGTGTTGTAGTGAACATTTATTATTTTATAAACTTTTACAAGTATAAGTATTAAAATATATAGGTAGGTAATAACATAGGAGAACTTCATGTAAGTGGCCATATAATTCTATCTATGGTTAAAAGTCTTTGAGCTAATTTGGAGTATTATTTAATGTTAGTCCTTGGGAGAGACTTGTGATCATTCCATCCAACTTCCTAGTTTTACAGAACCTGGAGTGGTTAACCGGCCTGTCCAAGTAGTCCGTTGACATAGTTGCTTGATAACCCGTTCCCCTGATCCCCCTAACCAGAATTCTTTTCACCATTTTATATTATTTCTGCACAAAATCAATCACTTGCAAACTCTAATATTTGACTTTTAGCAATGAAGTAGACTATTTATAAGGTGGCTCTCACAATTTGTCAATTGATGGTTTAGTAGGGAAATCATAGATAAAATAGTTTCTAAATGCAACTGATTATTATTTCTAAATTTATTGCAGTATAACATTTGTGTAACAGCTTTTTATTTATTCATTATTAATTTTTTAATCCTCACCCAAGGATATTTTTTAAATATTGCGAGTAGAAAGGAGGGAGTTGGGGGAAAAGAGGGCAGAAAAGGGGGGGGGGGAGAGAAATTAATGTGAGATATAACTGACATACAACATTGTATAAGTTTAAGGTGTATGATGTGATTTTATGTATGTATATGAGATCCTAAGGTCTTAAAATACTACTTGTCATATGTTATGATTAGATTAAGTTCTGTGTTTTTTGTTTTATGTTTTCCTGTAGAATCATTAGACGACTTGACTGATCTAGTGGTAAGGTTATTTTCTGAAGTAGAGAACAAAAATGTCCCATTGCCAGAATTCCCTGAACACCCTTTCCAAGAAGAACATCTTAAAGTAAGTACATGTGTATCTGGTTTTGCTTTGTTTTTTAAGTTTATGGATATATATATATATATATATATATATATATATATATATATATATATAATATAGTTTACCAAATAATAGATGGAAAATTTTGAAGGTTTTATTATTTATAGTTTTTACTATTTATCTGGATAATCAAATCAATTTCATATTTATTAGGGACATGTTTCATCAAAAAGATGCCAATATAATTCAGTCTTTGCATGCTAAAGGTAGTTTTAGTATCTGTAACATTAACAGACTGTAAAAGCTATGATCCAGTGCCTGAGGGCAATAATCCAGAAGTATTTAGCTGCACAGTCCAGGGGATAAAATGTGGCCTTTATACCAAATGTACTGACATTTCACTAAGAAAGAGACCAGGTCATTATTTCTTTATGCTCAGTGTGATCTTCTTTGGCAGTTGATTCTCTTGAATTTTTCTTTCTTTTTTTTTTTTTTTTTTTTTTTTAATATATTTTATTGATTTTTTTTTTTTTTTTTTAATAGAGAGGAAGAGAGAGGGATAGAGAGTTGGAAACATCAATGAGATAGAATCATCCATCGGCTGTCTCTTGCACACCCCCTATTGGGGATGTGCCCACAACCAAGATACATGCCCTTGACCGGAATCGAACCTGGGACCTTTCAGTCCGCAGGCCGATGCTCTATCCACCGAGCCAAACCGGTTTCAGCATAATTTTGAATTTTTCTATGAAAATCAATGTTCTTCATAGTTTATAAATATAGGGTGTCCTCCCAAAAATATATACACAGACTTTGAATAATCATAAAGACAGTGTTTATTAAAATACATTTCATTTTCAAATTTGAGCTATCAGCTGTTAAAGTGTATGTGTATTTTTGAGGGACACTCATTTGGGGGGGGAGCACCCTATATTTTATTCAGTGAGAGTTGTATGTAGCTAATCTGTGATTTTTCCTCGCCAGCAAATGTACAAAATCGTACCTATTAAGGATATTAGGAATCTTTATGTGACATTTCCCATACCTGACCTTCAGAAATACTATAAATCAAATCCTGGTCATTATCTTGGTCATCTTATTGGGCATGAAGGTCCAGGAAGTCTGTTATCAGAACTTAAGTCAAAGGGTAAGTCTTTTGGGCACAAGCTTCTGAGCGTAATATTCCACCATACCTTTTGCCTTGGCTCTCTTTCCTCCTAAATATTTCCCTGTGAAAAAAAAACATTTTTGGATGAGAGATTCTTTTGGGTTTATGGGGGAGAGAGGTAGTCGTTGCTGGGTGTATTTAGTTTTTTGCTTTTGGGTTCCCCCCACCCCACCAATAATTTGTTTTATCCTTTAGCATTGAGCAATAAAGGTTAGGTATTTCATAAGATGTTGTGGTGCATGTTTTAAATTTAAAAAGAGGTCTAAAAGTACAAGCTCACATTGGATATTTTTTACTATCTCTGTAAAGTGTCAGTACCTATTATTTATTTGCCTGCTCTTGCCCTTCAAACCAGAGGGTGTACCAAGATCTAGTCTGTAAAGGGTTTCCAAGGCCCTTGCAACTTGGGCTTCACTTTCACACACTCTTACACAGTAGTCTACTCTTGATTTGGGAACTGGCTTGGGGAATCCTGAAGAAAGCTTCCAAGCCCCCCGAAACCCCTTGAGTCTTCTGCGCTCTGTGAAAACTGCTCTTCTGATCTTTATTCTAATCGCCTCCACACACACACACACACACACACACACACACACACACACACACACACACACACACACCCTCTTTTCTGCAAGAGGGCCATTCTAATCCTTTTGTGAATGTAAAAAAATATTCCTTGTCCTAAAAGAGGCCACACATGCAATCATGTTATTTCCATTGTTTGTTACAGGCTGGGTAAATACTCTTGTTGGCGGGCAGAAGGAAGGAGCTCGAGGTTTTATGTTTTTTATAATTAATGTGGACTTAACTGAAGAAGGATTATGTAAGTATTGACTTTTTTTGGTCTTTGAATGAAAACTGACTTTGTATGATTTATATTTTAATTTCCTTATCTATGATCTGTTTTACGTTGTGAAGTTATAAACACTTCATCCATTGTACTTTTCATGTGCAATGCGCCCTTCATTTCACGGATGGTTTTCCCACCTTAACATCTGATCATTATGTTGCACTTATAAAATGTGTACTTTGCTTTTCATCTGCTCATTTACTACCCTAAAGCCCATTCTACTACATAACCCAGAGCCTAGAGGGCCTTGTTTGTGGGACCCTAAAACCTGTCTCAGGGAGGCGAGAACTCCATTTCATAGAGAACCATCTGCTGCTTACTTTAGGAGCGAGCTCACTGCTTTAAAGGATTTGAGGACTGAATGGTTTTTAAGTGTGCCTCTTTTTTCCAGTACATGTGGAAGATATAATTTTGCACATGTTTCAATACATTCAGAAGTTACGTGCAGAAGGACCTCAAGAATGGGTTTTCCAAGAGTGCAAGGTACCTTTGTTTCACCAAAACTTTTCTTAAGGAAAATTCTCAGAAAACATATATACGTGTGTGATTTAATTTTAATTTAAGGCCCAGTGAGACTTTTGAAGGCTTTTTTTTTTTTCTTAATTTAAGTAAAAGTTTGCAATGCATAGAAGCTTTAGTTAAGGCTTGGTTTGATTGGCTGCCTGGGGCACAATTAAGGGTTAAGTCATCATTTAACCTTTTTCAGGAAGGAAAAGGGAAGAAATCGGTTCTGTCCCTCAGAAGAATGCCAGCAGTTTCTTGAGCTTATATCAGGGCTTACTTTACTGTGTCAAGCTGCATGAGCTCTGTTTTTTTCAGATCTGGTAATAAAAGTCTGTAGCAAACTTCAAAGAAGTAGCGAATTGTCTTATATATGATTATGGTGTTAAAAGTGATTTCACTGTATATATGGAAAAGCCTGGCTATCTTTCTCTTTTCCCCTTTTTTCTTTTTCATTTTAAATAAAAAGAGAACAAAAGGGATTTCTCTTCTAAAATTTTAAATGATTCTTTTTAAAGGGTTTTAAAATTTTTGCACTTTATATTTACCACAAGGCTTATCAAAATTCTGAAATGTAATTTAGGATAAGACTTTTTTTTTAACCTAAGTAAAAGTTCCAAGATATAATCTCTGTGAAATTTGTAACAGTAGTTCTGATCTGGGTGCATTTTTCTGAATGAGTCAATAAAACTATCATCTATGCAACTAACTATTGGATTTCACAAGGTTCTTCCCCACAGTTTTCCTAATTTCTTGATATTTTCATTCATGTTCTGTACATTTCTAAATCAAGCATAGTAATTTTCTCAGTAAGTATAACGAAGTTAAGTATAGAGTAGAAAATCTATAGTGCAAACCAAATATACACACAAAAGGCTATTTTAAGATAATAGTTGACTTATCTCTAATTTTGTTAACTTTACATTTTAGGACTTGAATGCTGTTGCTTTTAGGTTTAAAGATAAAGAGAGGCCACGGGGCTATACCTCTAAGATCGCAGGAATATTGCATGTAAGTTTGCTTTCGTTTTACTATATATATTGGTGTGTAGACTACTTCAGTGACCCTGTACAATACTATACAAATTATAAAAATTGAAGCTGCAGTATGAAATTTTAGACTTTGTAGCAATCTCACCAACTTTTATGTCAAGACATACTGAAAATCTTCATTTTCATCATCCTAAAAATTGTCATCTGTAGTATTTTTTATTATGTAGGCGTTTTGCTTACTGGCTTTCAATATTTTTCAATTCTACAGTATGTCAATTGGTAATTATATGAAAGCTATAAATCATTTTATTCTCTTTTCTCCATTTCCATTGCTACTACCCTAGTCTGGGCTACCATCATTTCTTGCCTGGACTACCATTATAGTCGTTTATCTGGGTCCCTGGTTTCTTGTTCTCACTATAGTTTATTTTTCCAGCTTCTGTGATCTTTTGAAAACCAAATAGATTATTTCACTCTCTGGGTCAAGTTCTTCAGTAGTTTCTTATCAAGAGTTGGAATAAAATCCACAGTTTTACCTTAGCCTTCAAGGTGATCTGGCCCCAGCCTATTTCTCTGACTATACTGCATACCCTCTTCCTCCAACCTACCTTTCCCATTCCCATTCCCCTCCAGTGATACTGTTTGCCTAATCTTCAAGCATTAAGTTCATTCTTCCATCTTACATTTGGTGTTTCTCTACCCGGAACACTGATCTTTGCATGTCAGTGTTATTATTTTTTTTTTTTTTTAATGAAGCTGTACTGATAATGTTTTTATTTTTTGTCTTTTTAAATTAGCATATATCTATTTTCTTTTTAAACCTATTTTTATTGATTTCAGAGAGGAAGGGAGAGGGAGAGAGTGATTGAAACATCAGTGATGAGAGAGAATCATTGATTGATTACCTCCATACCCCCAACGGGGGATCAAGCCCTCAACCCAGGCATGTGCCCTGGCCAGGAATTGAACTGTGCTTCTGGTTATAAGTGGACACTCAACCACTGAACCACGCTAGCCAGGCTGTCAGTGTTCTTATCCTTTGGGTCTCCTAAAAGAGACCTTTCTGACCTCCCAATCATGCCCCTACCCTTTTATAATTTTTCTTATAGCACTTATAAATATAATGACAATATTTATTTATTATCTGCCTCCTTCTCAGTTACAATATAAACTTCTTTCAGAACAGGGACATCATCTGTCTTGTCTACCTTTGTATCCACAGAAATGCCTAGAACACAGTAGGTGTTCATTAAATACTTGTCGAATGAATGGATCAATCAATCTGTATCAGTATATTGGAAGTTGCTCTTACTGAAAAGTATCTTCTACCTTATTTTTTCTATATAAGCTATTTACCCCACAACAACTCTATAAATCTATAAGTCTGATTTCTTTCAAAAAATTGAAGCAGAAATTTTGTTCATAAAAATGTATTTACTTTATACTAATAATCCTGTAGATGTCAGCATTTAACCATCAAATTTTCTTCCTTAACGAATACTCAGTTTTTAGGCAGAAATATTACATTTTTCCCTGAAAAAAATTATGATTTTGTTTCTATAATATAAGTGTATTTGGGCATTAACTATAAAATCATGCCACTAAATGAAACTGCTTACAGTGTGGTAGAAAATAGAAAAGATTGAGAAATTTTTCTAGTGGACTAAAATTCAATGGAGAGAAAAGGAGGAGTATAAAATAATGTATTTCCTGTGTTAGATATCTGATTGCTTCTTATTTTGTCTTGTACTTTGTTTTAAAGTATTATCCCCTAGAAGAAGTGCTCACAGCTGAATATTTACTGGAAGAATTTAGACCTGATTTAATAGAGATGGTTCTTGATAAACTCAGACCAGAAAATGTCCGGTGAGTTTTACTCTGCAGATTTTACTATTACATACTACATTTCAGTAACGATCACAATATGAAAATGTGAAATTGTGACTAAAATGCTTTAAAACATGCCCTAACCGGTTTGGCTCAGTGGATAGAGTGTCTGCCTGCGGACTCAAGGGTCCCAGGGTCAATTCCAGTCAAGGGCATATACCTTGGTTGCGGGCACATCCCTGTGGGAGGTGTGCAGGAGGCAGCTGATCGATGTTTCTCTCTCATCGATGTTTCTAACTCTCTATCCCTATCTCTTTCTCTCTGTAAATAATCAATAAAATATATTTAAAAAAATAAATAAAATACTTTAAAACATTTTGTTAAGTATGATTACAAAGTAGAGAGAATAATGTAATGTACCAATAGCTAAGTTCAGCGGTCAGTACATGGCCTGTCTTTTTATATTTATCCTCTTTACTTATCCTCCCTTCACTCTGAATATTTTGAGGCATTATCTCTAAAACATGAAGATTCGCCGAAATCGGTTTGGCTCAGTGGTAGAGCATCAGTCTGCGGACTGGAAGGTCCCGGGTTCGATTCCAGTCAGGGGCATATACGTTGGTTGCGGGCACATCCCTGATAGGGGGTGTGCAAGAGGCAGCTGGTCGATGTTTCTCTCTCATCGACGTGACGTTTCTAGCTCTCTATCTCTCTTCTTTCCTCTCTGTAAAAATCAATAAAATATATTTAAAAAATAAAATAAAACATGAAGATTCTATCATGAATAAAATGTAATAATTGATCATCTTAACCTGGCTTTATCCTAACTCAAATACCCAAGGTATTAGGTCACCTATCTGGTTTTATAAACAAATGAGGACACCCTCTATACATTGCCTATTTCAGCAAAGCAAGCCTTATTGGATTTTCTGGAACTTAAAGGTCCAATACATTCTTGGATATTATTTACATTTTCATGAGTCAAGTTCTGTAAGTTTATGTATACAACATGAGTTTATATGTTTTTTTCCATCTATCTCTAGGGTTGCAATAGTTTCCAAATCTTTTGAAGGAAAAACCGATCGCACTGAAGAATGGTATGGAACCCAATACAAACAAGAAGCTATACCAGATGAAGTCATTAAGGTATGGCTAATGCAGGTCTGGTGTGTGAGGGACACAGAGGAAATGAGCTACCCAGATCACCCAACTCACAGCCCAGGTTGTGGAGAGTGATGGCCCAGTGCTGTCTGTACCATCCTGAGAGGAGTAAGCATGGAGATGGAGGGCTGCATCTTAGGCTTTGCTTGAAGAAATTGCACTGTGGCCCCCTCATGCAGTCAAAGATCATTGGAGTCCAAAGTTCACAGAAAAGCAAACCTAGAAGACAGACAGTGAGATAGGAACACAGGCGGGAGCAGTCTCTGGGCTTCATCCTGTCTTCACTTGAGGAGGTGCTGTACTTTATGCCTCATAGTGCATCACTGCTCTTTGTGTCAGAAGAGGGGAATTAACATGGGTTTTGAAACATGTATGTTTAGGTAGTATGTTACCCCATTCATCAGTAGTCAAGATTTTGTGAGTCCCATCTACTTATCTAATACTTTTTCTTTTTTAGTTCTCATTGGCTGTGTAGCTTTGAGATTGTGTTCTTTATTCATCAGAAAGCTTCGCTATGATTAGATTCTAGTTAAATTCAAGTATTGGACATTTCTTAAATGTACCTGTGTAATGACGATACTGAAAAAAGAGAAATAGTTTAAGAAAGAAAATCGTTACAGGTAACTTCTGACATAATCACAGCACAGAAGGAGATCACTGGAGCCCCATCTTGCTAACTCATGAGGAAAGCAGATATCCTATGAAATAGTGCTGGTCTGAACTATCCTAAAATAAGAGAGAACCCTTTTCACCAAATTCTGACCATGACAATCTTCCCTGAATAGTAATTTTTAAAAAACATACAAATTTCAGTGGTGAAATTTCTTGCTAACTGTTTACCGGTTCCTATCATTCAGCCTTCTGGAGACTGAAGTTGCTACTTATAAATAATACAGCCAGCATCCCCACTATCCCAGTGCCAAAAGACACAAATGCAGGGACTAAAATAGAATTGCAAAGGCGCCAGGCTGTGCTACGTCATCTGGAGACCAAATTGTCGAACTCAGATTGTTGGCCTTTTCTTTCTTTTTAAATATGAAAAGTCTTATAAATTAGAGTTCAACGTTCAGTGGCCTGTGCTCTGCCCCACTTAGCTTTTGGCCCTAGCCCATGTAACAGATCCAAGCTACAGGTTGTGTCAGCCCTGTCCCACAATCCAGACTTAAATCTCAACTGTGTCCTTAACCTTGAGCTTGAATTACTGCTTCACTTGAAAGTTCACTTGGTCATCTGGGAAAGGTGTGGACCTGGTTGTAAGAGGGACTGAAGTGAACAAGCCCCACTGTTTAGCCTTAGCTTTCAGGCTACACATGCAAGTAGCTTATTGTAGCTGAAATTTTAACTCTTATGTCAGTAGCCTGTTACCTAGCAGTTGGGAATACCCTCTGCAGATTATTTTTCATTCTTTAAAAAGCTGAAACAAGCGTGGTCTGTATGTAGACCAATTAGTCCAAGGATGGGGAATGTACAGCCCCAGGGCTGTATAAGACTCATGAAATCATTCGGTCTGGCCTTGCCATGGCATTAGGAGTGAGCTAATTAAATGTTTGATCAAAGGTAGCAGGCTAATTTTTAAGTTGATAATTTTGTATGGCTTGAGAATGACATTATAAATATCCAAATGGCCTTTGGCAGAAAAAAGGTTCTCCACCCCTGAATTAGCCTCTCAGTGTTCCTCAGTCTTAGGTATTTCCTTACCCTTATTTGGTCATTTTGGAAATGTGTAAAGAGGAAAGATAGGTGAGTATAAAACCTTGATTAGTACCGGAGAATCCAACTCATATTTCATAAAAAGTCGTCAATAGGTCTTGGGAGTAGTCTCCTTATTATGGAAAAGAATGCTGTCTGACATTTATTCCCTTAATATTTGCCTGGATATTAACAAGTAGAATGACTTTTAAATGCTTGTGTCTTTAATTATTCACCCAGAAATGGCAAAATGCTGACTTGAATGGGAAATTTAAACTTCCAACGAAGAATGAATTTATTCCTACGAATTTTGAGATTTTATCATTAGAAAAAGAAGCAACACCATACCCTTCCCTTATTAAGGTAATATGTTTGATTCAATGATTTAAAATTCAGGGTTCCATTGGAGGGCCTAGAGAGACGATTTCTTACATTTGGTGCTATGCTGATTTTGAGGGCTCACATTCAAAGAGGTGACAGAAAAGTTAGAGAGAATAATAAGAAACATAAAAGGCCAGAAATGTTAAAGCAAACAAACTATTAAACAACATTGGGTCTGGGGAATTGTCTTTACAGAACAAAAATGGTAAGTCTGGACTTAACCACAAGCTATTGAAAAATAGTGGCTTCTTTTTCATATTCCCTGAAGATCCAATGAGGTAGTAGATTGACCTACATCATGAAAGTTAGACTCTCTAAGCGTGGAAGATCCTGCCTTTGAAAGCAGCTCGCGCTCGCTCTCTCTTTCTCTCTCTCTCTCTCTCTCTTTCTCTCTCTCTTTATTTTAATATATTTTATTGATTTTGTACAGAGAGGAAGGGAAAGGGTTAGAGAGCCAGAAACATCTATGAGAGAGAAAAACATCAATCAGTTGCCTCCTGCACACCCCCCACCAGGGATGTGCCCGCAACCAATGTACATGCTTTTGACCGGAATCAATGACGCTCTATCCACTGAGCCAAACGGGTTTTGACGAAAGCAGCTCTTTTTGACTGAGTGGTATATGAAGTTCATGGAGCCAAGTGGGATGGGTGTTTGAGCCATGGGTTTTCTTTTTGTTTTCAGAATGTTCATGTTAATTCACACCTTGAGTAAAAATTGTATAGAAAAAGGATCAAATTATTACAGCACATTCTCTTTTCTAAACTGTAAAATGAACTTTTTCTAAACTCCCCACCCTAGACATAAGTCTTTCTTTTCTTTTTCTCTTTTTATTTTCTTAAAATGACCCAACATTCATTAACTCAGTGAGGTAAGAATTATTGATTAGGAATATGAATTTTAATTTAGCTGAAGCAATTACATTATTATTAAGACAACCATTTTTCTTTAAAAATTACATTTTAATGAGTTATAGGTTAGGTTATTGAAAGGCAAAACTTGTTTACCTCTCAAGTTTTAAAAGTTTTTTTTTTAATAGGCCTTTTCAGAGCAAATTAAGGAGAACCATTTATATCTCTTGTCAGTTTCAAGTGAATATCTAAGGCTATTTTTAATATATTTTAGCATGAATGAAGTAGAGAGTCAAAATAGTATTTTATTTGTTCATCCCTAGTCGTGTTAATCATTGCTGGGTAACAAATTACTCAAGTTTAGCAGCTTAAAATCATAAACACTTAATGTCTCACAGTTTCTGGGGGTCAGGATCTGGAAGTGGCTTATTGAGTAGTTCTGGCTCCAGGTCACTCACAGGGCTTTTTTCACGCTGCTGTCTGGGGCTTCAGCCACCTGAAGACTCAGCTGGAGCTGCAGGATGCAACCAGAGCTGAAGTGGAGTGGGTTTTGGCAGATCTTTGTTCTTCACCACATGGGCGTCTCCATAAAGGTGCTTGATACGGCACCTGGTTTCCCCCAAAGTGAGTGATCCTAGAGGGAAAGTGAGTGATCAGGATGGAAGCCACTTCTAATCTCCGAGATGTTATACCATCACTGTTATACCATGTTGTACTCTGTTGGTCAGACTGACAACTCTGGTTCGCTAGACAGGGAACTGTTGGCCCACCTTGGAGGCTGGCTGCCCCACACTCAGAACCCCTTCTGTCTCCCCAGGTCCAGAAAGACAGGGACAGGGCAGTAATTCCTGGCCTCTCCGACTGACTCTTTCTCTGCTGTGTCCTCATCTTGTTAAACCAGTGAGATGAAAGGGTGATTTCTGTCTGCTGCTGGAATCGCCAGTCCTTTCTTTTCACTTCCCTCCTGCTGACCCTCTGAGTAGACTTCAAGGCCAGGGGACAGCAGCCTCTGCAGAACAGAACTCTATACTGTTAATTGCCTTTGTCCTCCTTTCTTGAAGGGTGATTTGATTGAACATTTTTGCCAAATGTGCCTATATTTCCATAACTAATTTTTTCCCCATTACAGGATACAGCTATGAGCAAACTCTGGTTCAAACAAGATGATAAGTTTTTCTTGCCAAAGGCTTGTCTCAACTTTGAATTTTTCAGGTATGTAAGATGAATCTAGCTATAAAGCTTCTTCCAAAAATCAATTACTTTCTAAAAGTTTTTTTTGGTTCCTTGATGACCAATGTCTAAAAATAAAAGGAATTAGGGTTACTTAGCCTGGACAACAGAAGGCTGCTGCTGGTAGTTAACTCTTCCTTTCCATTGATGGATACACCCATTAATGGAAATAATCTGTATTAGTTATTAGCAGGACCTTCCTAACCTTTAGGACTTCGGAATCTGGGGAGACTTATAGACTCACCCAGAAGTTTCATTAAAGAAAGATTAAGTAATTTGGGATAGATTTGGTTTTGTATTCCTAGAACTTTCCCGGAAGAAGAGATAATAGTTACTAAATGATCTGGAGTCTCATCCATCCCATTAATTGTCTGGAACCCTCAGATACTGCTCTCTCTATTCCTGGTTTGGTTAGAAGCATACCTTGGAGATATTGCGGGTTGGGTTCCAGACCATCGCAATAAAACAAGTATCATAATAGAACAAGTTGTCTCTTTGCTGGTGGAGGAGCATCTTGCCTTTTTGTAAACAACTCAACATCTGTGAAGAGCGATAAAGATGTATGCCTGTACTGCCCCATTTGGCTTCAGAATACCTTTTGAGAGACCATTTAATATTTTTTTGCAAGTTCTAAACTATACAGCAATTCTTAGAATTAAAAATGTCTGCTTCCTATCAGTCCTCTCTGTGTTCTGGTCCTTTTAAAAGCACACACTATTAGGTTTCTTGTACATTATGGCAGGAATTTTCTGTGTGTGTATATCTTTTTAATCTTTTCAGAAATAAGATTATATTGTGCATACTTATAGGTTTTAAAACTATGATCCATATTTAAGCGTATATCATCTGCTTACAAAATAATGTTTTTCAAATTGAGAAATGAATTAGAATTTAGGCATTTCAGTTGAATCATGTTCCTTTTTTTTTTGTATTTTATTTTCATGTTCTCTTTTCAAAGTTAGTTTAGGGCCCTCTCCAGTTCACCAACACAGCTGCTGTGGACACAGCCTTTAGGACACCCGCTGGAATGGCATTCTGAGCTTGCCAGCAGGCCTTGGGCTCCCAGACTTGGCTTTGTCTAGCTTTCCACGTCCACCTAAGAAAGGTGCCTGGGTGCCTGTGGGGCTAAGCCTCCCATGGACTCTCTCTCGCTTTGATGTCTTGGCTTTTGTGAATTGTGCCTTAAGTTTCTGCCTAAAACGGGTCATGAATAACACTTTAAAAAATTCAGTGACACGGCATTTACTTAGATTTTTCCCAATGGAGGATGTTTGTAGAACCAGAGTTTTTCCTTTGATTTTAATTCTCTAAGTGGCTAAGCATTGTACCCCTGTTTTTGCTTCATTATCAGTTTTTGATAAAAATGCTGGCTCTGCTGTCAGTGCATTAGTTATATTTGGTACTGTGCTAGAGAGAAAGTGAAACTTTCGGTTTGTTGCCAAATAAGCCACTCGGGCACCTGCCTCAGGTCCTTTGCACCAGCTGTTTTCTCAGCCTGAAAGTTCTCCACTTTACCCAGATATTCCCATGGCTTGCTCCTTTGTTTGCTTCAGGTCTGGGCCAAGATGGTACCTTATAACTGTCTTAGCAATCTTCTTGTCCCGCCTCCCCCTATTTAATTTTCTTTCTTTAAAAAAAAAAATATTTTATTGAATTTTTACAGAGAGGGAGAGAGAGAGCTAGAAACGTCGATGAGAGAGAAACATCGATCAGCTGCCTTTTGCACACCCCCTACTGGCAATATGCCTGCAACCAATGTACATGCCCTTGACCGGAATCGAACCTGGGACCTTTCAGTCTGCAGACCGACGCTCTACCACTGAGCCAAACTGGTTTCGGCCCCCTGTTTAATTTTCCTCCATAGCACCATCACCACCTGATGTGTATCACATTTAAGTTTATTATTTGTCTCCTTCAATTGGACGATGAACTCTGAGGTCAGGGACTTTGCCTGATTTCTTCCTTCTTTCTTCCCAGTAGCTAGCGAAGAGCCTAGCTTTATAGTAAGCATGTAATAAGTGTGTTCAATGGAGGAGTCTGTTGCTTCTCTTAAAGGTAAGCAGTGTCATACAGTCAAATGCATAAGTCGTTTGACTTAAATTTGAATCCTAACTCTACTGCTTACCAGCCCAGGTGACAGGAAGAAAATTATGTTTCTTAATTGGGAAACGGAGTTTTAAAATAGGTGATCGCTGTAGTCCTACTTAGCTCACATGCTCTATAATTATTTCTTTTGTTGCTCTTATTTATATATTTTTTTCTATTTTAGTTTTTTCTTCTTCTAGTTCTTGTTGCAGTTATATGGTAGAAATTAATTATTTTATTCTAGCTTTATTGGCTTGTGGGAAACTCAGAGATAACCAAACATTTTCACAGATCTCAGTTTTCCTCTTCTTTTAAAGAAGATGTTTTTATTTATTTTAAAGGGAGAAGGGGAGAGAGAAAAACATCGACCTGTTGCCACTTACATGCCCCCTAGTAGAGATTGAGCCCCAAACCCTGGGCATATGTTCTGACTGGGAATTGAACTGTGACCTCTTAGTGTTGGGATGACACTCAATCCACTGAACCACACCAGCCAGAGCACAGTTTTTCTCTTTGAAGTTTATATAATTGTAGCACACAAACTCCTCAATCATATAGTCCTGTCCACCAAGATGTGGCTTGGTTTTAGAAGGAGAAAGGGGCATGCCAGTGCTGAGTCAGATCTTTCAGCCATGCCTCCTATTGGCCTGAGTTAGTTTTTGGCTGGTTCAGCTCCTTCTAACTTGTCAATTCTGTCACACCATCTGGGGTAAGCAGTTCCTCTCCTTCTTCGCCTCCATCAGCACACATGGCATGTTTCAGACTTCTTTTTTAGACTTTGTGTTTTTCCTCCTGAGAAGAAGAGACAGATTCAAGAATTCAAACCCTATCTTCAGGAAAGTATATGAATCGGTATTCAGTTTCTTGATCCATCTCGAAAGGCCACATGTCACATTGGGAAGTAATAAATCAGCTATTTTACTGTCAACATTTTCTTCCAGCCCATTTGCTTATGTGGACCCCTTGCACTGTAACATGGCCTATTTGTACCTTGAGCTCCTCAAAGACTCACTCAACGAGTATGCATATGCAGCAGAGCTAGCAGGCTTGAGCTATGACCTCCAAAATACCATCTATGGGATGTATGTAAGTACCCACGTCTTAGAGCCTTCCACTCATCAACATTTTTTTGCATTGATTTGATGGAAGCATTTTTGATTGAGGGTATGATTTAATTTCTTTTTTTTATTTTATCTTTACGGCTAATCATATTATCTCATTTAATTTTTAAGTTAGCTCTTATTTTAAGTATTCAGCAATTTACCATTCATATTTATGCCAATATTCCTTGATTTCTTTATTTTTTTCTTTTAACATCTTTCATCAGATTGTCACATTTTTCTCCTCAAACAAAATTGGACCCTGATTTAGGTTTAGATCTTACCCATTCTATATCTGAAGTCTTGGTCTTTGACAACAGAGAATGACGTCTTGCTGCCATTGTAAAACATAAGGTTGGCCTGTACTATTTCCCTAGCCATTCAGATCATGAGGCTGCATATCCATACTCTTCGGTCATGTTTCTTCATTACCATGTCACTGCTTGAGGTATCAAAGCATTTCTTTTGTTTTTCTTTTTGTTAGTCGCTACATTTATGCTGATCCTCTCCATTGCAACATGACATACCTGTTTATCAGGTTATTGAAGGATGATTTAAAAGAGTATACATATGCAGCACGCCTCTCAGGTTTGAGCTATGGCATTGCATCAGGGATGAATGCAATACTTGTAAGTAAAATGAAAACCAAAGAAAAGGCACCACAGCGTTTAAGCATTGTGTTGAGCGTGAGAAAACTATTAACTTCTGCATTTTTAAACAAGAAGATTGACGGTTTTTTCCTTGCACCTTTTTAATGATTGAAGAACTCAGATTAGTCTTAGCTACACTAATGAATGGTTTAGTAGAGTTTAGTGCATCTTGTGAACAAGTATGTGTGCTACATTCACTTGCATGTTCCTCTGCTTCAAATGCTTAACATATTAATTCTGAAAGCCATGTTGTTCTTTTCATGTGTTTGAGTATATTAACATCTGTAAGTACAAGATGTCCATAGCTATTGTTGTGCTGCTTGAATTTTATTTATATATAAGCATCCTTTATTTCTGCTGACAATAGAAAAAAATCCCTGTGTTTAGATACTTGTGGCATTTTCATTTCATTTTTTTGTAGCATGCTACATTAACCATTTTTAAGTGTGTTTCAAAATAATCATTGTTAAGTGCACTCTTAAGAAATCACTAGATCCTTTCTTGACACTGTTTGTGATATATTTCCAAACTTATATTTCATTTCCAAATTAACATCCCCTTAGGCACTCATTCAACTTCACTTTTCTTGAAAATATATGTTTTACTAACAACTAAAATGAGAGCATGTGCTGTGTACTTCTCTTTATAAGTTCTTATACAAAAGATTTTAGGGTTTTAAATTTGTATTTATTTTGCAGCAACTTTTTTCCTTCACACAAATAAATACATTTTATAACTTTTGTTTAATGTATAATTATGTATACAATCTAACCATTCTCAGAGTCCAGGGAAATTTGAAGGTCGGAGATCAAAATAAACTCCAAATAGAAAAGTAATAATCCATTGTTTACTTTTGACTGTTGAGTTTTAGTAGCACATTACCATTCATATAAAAAAAATTGTTGTTTGTGACAAAATGGGTTTTCCGCTAATTGTCACTCTAGTTCCCACAGCATGTGATGTGCTTTCCATGGCCGCACACCTTCAGTTCTGCTGAGGTTCTTGCCTGTCGTTTTTCATGAGGTAGATAACCTCTACTGTAGTAGGTGCCACCTTGTGGAAATATGACAGTAGGCACCCCCCACTTTTCAAACAGTTATGCTTAACTTGTCCTAAGGCAAAAAATCCAGTGTATCTTCCCTACACATCTGTTTTGCCATTAGCTTTTGACACATCAGCAGAACTCATCCCGCAAGCAAGTGGTGAGACGTATGGATCTTTATTGGATCACACTGAATGAGAAAAGTGGCAAAATGCCACATAATAAAAAATTGGGGACTGCCTGATTTCTCCAAATAGTTTTTTAAAAAATATTTAAATATAAACAAGATGGGGACAGATCCAATAGTTTGTAGATAACACTCTCCTGCGATTTTTCTTACCATACCTGTAAAACCCTTAAGCCAACCATTTCTTAGATATTTTTTGAAGGTTAAACTTAAAATACATTTTATAATTAATTTAGACTTTATGAGAACTTGAATTTTGGTGATATGGTGTGTGCTGCCCCAGATGGGCATCAGATGAGTTTTCCTACTGTTGGTTTTGTTTAAGAAAAGCAAAATCATGCTTTTAGTTATTAGTAAATATTGATAATTAATGTTATCTTCCTAAGTGTCAAGTTATACTTATGGAAAGTTAAATTAATTGAGTCTCTTTTTTTAAAATAATATATTTTTTATTAAATTATTATTTTTGTACATATACCAATGTTAATTGAGTTTCTTATTTCACTTTTATTTTAAAGCTCTTGGTTTGGGGATTTTCTGAATGTTTACAAATCAAGCTTAAGAAATTTTTAGACTTTTAACACCCTGAACTCTTTCTCTAGCTCTCGGTGAAAGGTTACAATGACAAGCAGCCAATTTTGCTAAAGAAGATTATTGAGAAAATGGCTACTTTTGAGATTGATGAAAAAAGATTTGAAATTATCAAAGAGGCAGTAAGTTTTCTGAACTTATTTTTATAATTTGTTGGTTTTTTTTGTCCACAAAGTGATTTTTAAAGTACTTATAAAATTAATGAACCCATGTCTTCATTCCCTAGTATATGCGATCTCTTAACAATTTCCGCGCTGAACAACCTCACCAGCACGCCATGTACTACCTCCGCCTCCTGATGACCGAGGTGGCCTGGACAAAAGATGAATTAAAAGAAGCTCTGGATGGTGAGACTGTTTCTACTGATAGCCTAATATTTAGGCATCCGTCCATCAGTTTAGTTCAGTTAAAAACTAGGAACTGTATTATAAGACTGAAGGGTCATCTTTTGTTTTGTTTTTTTCTAAAATTTTAAGTCTAGTTTCATAGGTTTCTTTGAAAGTTGTAAATTCTTTGAGGGTAATAATTATGCCTTTTATCCTCTTTATTTAGTATCTCATATAATTTTATATGCTCATGTGTGTCTAATGAATGCCTAGTGAATGAAATGAAATTACTTTTAGGGGTCCTTCATTGAAAAGAATGAAGATTGACATCACCCTTTATTATTTTATCTTTTTCATTTCTTGGTGTTACTTTACCAATTAATCTTTCTACATGCTCAGCCATAAGGAAAAAGATTGCTGCTGATTTTTTAAAAAAAAATATATTTTATTGATTTTGTACAGAGAGGAATGGAGAGAGATAGAGAGTTAGAAACATCGATGAGAGAGAAACATTGACCAGCTGCCTCTTGCACACCCCCCACTGGAGATGTGCCGGCAACCAAGGTACATGCCCTTGACCGGAATTGAACCTGGGACCTTTCAGTCCGCAGACCGACTCTCTATACACTGAGCCAAACTGGTTTTGGCTGCTGTTGAATTTTTTTTTAATATATATATATATATATATATATATATATATATATATATATATATATTTTTTTTTTTTTTTTTAATTGATTTTCCACAGAGAGGAAGGGAGAGGGACAGAGAGTTAGAAACATCAATGAGAGAGAATCATCGATCAGCTGCCTCTTGCACATCCCCTATTGGAGATGTGCCTGCAACCAAGGTACATGCCCTTGACCAGAATCGAACTCAGGACCTTTCAGTCCGCAGGCCAACGCTCTATCCACTGAGCCAAACCGGTTTTGGCTGCTGTTGAATTTTTAATGGAAGTCCTTACTTCTTATGTAACACTGGGCTTTCGATGTCTTCAGTGACAAGTTAGGAGAACAAGTATTGAAAAATCACTTTATTGGTTGCCTCAGGCATTGGGTAGGTGTACAGATTATAAAATTCATTACCACTAGAACAGATACATTGTATTTTAAATATATATTTATTTATTTCCAAGAGGAAGGGGAGAGGGAGAAAGACAGAACATCATGATTAGAGAGTATCATTGATCAGCTGTCTTCCTGTACACCCCACACTATGATCGAGCCCACAACCCAGGCATGTGCCCTGACCTGGTTCATAAGTCAACGCTCAAGCACTGAGCCATACCAGCTGGGTATTTTCTTACTTATATATATTTTTTTCTTTTGTTATTGAAACAGGTACATTTTTAATCTGGATAGTTAATATGCCTTTTTTTTTTTTTTTCCCTTCAAAATAATTACATCCAGTAAATAGCAAGAATTTTGCCTTTTGAAAAAACAACAACCAGCCATAGCTGGTTTGGCTTAGTGGATAAAGCGCAGCTTGCAAACTGAAGAGTCCCAGGTTCGATTCCAGTTGGGGGCACATGCCTGGGTTGTGGGCTCATTCCCTGGTGGGGAGTGTGCAGGGGTCATTCTCTCTCATCATTGATGTTTCTGTCTCCCTCTCCCTTCCTCTGAGAAATTAATCAAAATATATTTAAAAAAATAAAACAAAAGATTGAGATCCTTAAAAAAAAAAAAAAAGAACACCATAATAACCACATAATTGATTTTAAATACATTTTTCAAGAAACAACGTGCATTCAGAATGATCAAAATGCAGAAGTTTTTTAGTTTCTGGGTCAGATGTTATGTGAATCTTAAGCAGAATAAGCTCTAAAATACTGGTATCTCATAAGCATGTGAGACTTTCCTAAATTATATTTTATAAAGGAAAAGTCAGCACTTTTTTAGTTGAAATTCTTTAATGAGTAACCATTCTGTTCTGTTTTATATGTGTGTGTGTGTGTGTGTATACACATACATACATAAATACATACATACAAGAATCCAGTAATGTCATTGTGGCTTACTCTGGAGACTGCTCACGTGAGAGGCTGGCTCCCTTCTGACTCTTAAGCCGGTTCAGGTGATGGGATAGCAAGGACCTCAGAGTTCAGTGTGGTCCAACAGTATTTACAGACTACCTGCGATGCACCAGGTTGCTTGAGATTAAAAATAAAAAGATAATTTATATTTGGTTTCTTTGATTGGTGAGCTCCAGTCTAGTGGCAAAGCATGAATGTAATGAGATCATTTCAGTAGAGGCAAAGAGAGGAGGCCTGCAGAGAGTGCTAAGGGGGTGAAAGGTCCTTAGGCAGTGCAATGGAGAAGGATGAGTGTGCGCTTTGGAATTAGACCAAGGATCAGGTGCTAGCTCTGCAACTTACTAGCTTGATGATTTTGGTCAGGAAATGTGTATTTTCTAAATTTCAATTTTCTCATCTTTAAAATGGGGATAATAGCACGCACTTTACAGTTTATAACATTTATAAGATGTCAGTAGTAAGCATTTGTTAATTCCATGTCTCTCTTTACATTTTAGTCACTTAATTTTAGCATCCATTGTAGCAATTACTAATATGGTCCTAATGGAAAAGGAATAACTCTTCCTTATTGAAGAACTAAGACAGTACATGTAGAAGGAAAGTGGGGAGTAGAAAACTCACTATTATTATAGAATGCCATAATAATAATTGATACAGGCAATATACACCAATGGATGCTAACATTAGTAGGTAAAAGTTTAGGAAAAACAGGATATTTGTATAGTTTCAAAGTATTTTCCCAAAATAATTTTTTTATTGATTACAATGGGAAAAATAAGCGTTGATAAGCAGATGGCTTTTCATAATTGCTTGAAGAGCCTACATGAGTTACTCAGTTATAACCAAAAGAATAAAATAGTACACTCACAGCAATGGCATCTGGCAGACACCACCCAACCAAGTGTTCAGTGTTAACTTCAACAGTACTACAGTGTACAGCATCATGAACCTCTGAGAAAGGCATGGCACCTCTGTGGTATTCTTCCTAGTAAGACATAAGCTCAGTTTAATCATGAGAAAACACTAGCCAAACCCAGATAAAGGTCGTTCTATAAAAGAACTGAACAATGCTCTTCAGAAGTATTAAGATCACTAAAGACAAGTAAAGACCAAGGAACTGTCAACACATGACAACTATTAATAAATGCGAGGTGGGATTGCAGGTTAAATCCTAGAACAGAAAAGAGAAATTGGTGGAAAAATTGAAATCCTAAAAAAGTCTATATTTTAGTTAATAGTATGTGCTAGTGTTCATTTCTTAATTTTGACATTGTACTGTGATTATGAAAAATGTTAACATTAGGAAAAATTGGGTGAAGGGCACACAGGCACTCTCTCTACTATTTTTGAATTCTGAACTCTTGTATAAGTCTCAAGTTAACTTTTTTTTTTTTTTTAAACACCTCATAAGTAGAATCTGTATTTCTTGCACTTTACAGATGTCACCCTTCCTCGCCTTAAGGCCTTTATACCTCAGCTCCTGTCACGGCTGCACATTGAAGCCCTTCTCCATGGAAACATAACAAAGCAGGTGGGTGGTTAAAGTTTTAGCAGTCTTTCATGAATCAGTGCGAGAGATTCTTTACCCTGGTCTGTCTAAAGCTGTTCACCACCACAATGTGGTTATAATAGCACATCAGTGTTCACTCAACCCTCCCTGCTCTATGGAGGAAGGAAGAAGGCCTGGGGAAGCAGAAGGATAGGAGATTGTGGTTAACTGTGGACCTACTGTCATGGCTGTGTGTCTGCTGTTGCCTGCCTTGTGCAGTCACAGAAGGAAGTGGGGAAAATTATCCTCATTCTGTGTAAGACAGTGGGGAATGTCTGGTCTGTGGGCCACATAAGGCCCGCAAAACCATTTGATCTGGCCCTGCCAAGGCATAGGGATGAGTTAATTAAATGTTGACCAAATATAGCAGGCTAATTTTTAAGTTGATAATTTTCTATGGTCCATGAAGGATGTTAGGAATATCCAAATAGCTCTTAGCAGAAAAAGGTTCCCCACCCCTGGTATAGTGACTAGGAGCACATGATGTGGAATTGGAAGTCTGGATTTGAATCCTAACTGTGTCACATACTAGATATGCAATTTTCTGAAAAGATCTTGACCTGTCTGTGCTCAGTTTTCCTATTTGTAAAATTATAATTTTAGGATTAAATTAAATAGTAAAGGCCAAATTTAGCACATGGATAACTCTCCAGAATTCTTGTAGCAATCTCTCTTAAGAGCCCACCCTCTCTACCACTCTGCTGTATGTTGTCTCCAAAATAGTATGCCCAGTGGCAGAGCCAGGATTCTTGTAATTTATAAAAAAAATAAAATAAAACCTTATGCTCACACCGAAACCGGTTTGGCTTAGTGGTAGAGCTTCGGTCTGCGGACTGAAAGGTCCTGGGTTTGATTCCGGGTAAGGGCATGTACATCGGTTGTGGGCACATCCTCGGTAGGGGGTGTGCAAGAGACAGCTGGTCGATGTTTCTAGCTCTCTATCTCTCTCTCTTCCTCTCTGTACAAAATCAATAAAATAAATAAAATAAAACCCCAAAAACCTTATGCTCAGCTCCTTTGCTTTGCTGTAACCCCAACTGTCATTCAGTCGGGATGACTAGCTTTCCATCACCAGTACCCCTCCAGCTTTAGCAATGCCTTTCCCAGCATCAGGATGATCTGGTCTCTTGTTTCTCTTCACTACTACCATAGTGATTAGTATAAATTGACAAATCCAATTTTCACCCATTTGAGTAGGACCAAATGTATTTAAGATTTAAAAACCCATTTTTATGGTAAACTAGGCTGGTTTATTTCACAGGCATATTTTCTTTTCTTTTTTAAAAAATATATTTTATTGATTTTATACAGAGAGGAAGGGAGAGAGATACAGAGTTAGAAATATCGATGAGAGAGAGTCATCGATCAGCTGTCTCTTGCACACCCCTACTGGGGATATGCCCGCAACCAAGGTACATGCCCTTGACCGGAATCGAACCCAGGACCCTTCAGTCCCCAAGCCGACGCTCTATCCATTGAGCCAAACCGGTTTCGGCCACAGGCATATTTTCATATTGCATGGACTATTATTCAATATACTGTATTTATTTTCACAGACAAGATACATTTGTGCTCTTGTAATTACTGTGACCTGTATTTTCCACAGGCTGCCTTAGGAATTATGCAGATGGTTGAGGACACTCTTATTGAACATGCTCATACTAAACCACTCCTTCCCAGTCAGCTGGTTCGATACAGAGAAGTTCAGCTCCCTGACAGTAAGTTGAAATGTTATAACTTTGGTAATGGACAACTTTGACATAATATTGTGGGTAATTATAGGAAGACTAAATTCATTTGGATGGTAATGTATTGCATTATGGTAAAGAACTACAGGATCCTCTACTATTTATAGAGGTATGATTAATGATAGGTAATTCTGACAGAAAATTCTCAGTAAGTGGGCCAAAGAGATGAAATTGGAGGTAGGCCATTATTTTAAAGAGAATGATGGAATTGATGGGTAATTGAGTGTAGAGGAGTTAGGAAATAAACATATACAAAGCTAAAGAAATGTTGATCATGAATCATGAAATAAAATTTATAAAAACTAGAATTATAATACCTAATAGGAAGCCTATAGGTGTCTTTGGCAGAAATAGTTTTAGGAATGATATAGGTGCAGACAGTAACATTTATTTTATAAGGAATTTTAATATAATGGATAATAATATAGCAGAGTTCCAGTATCAAATTACTTTTGCATTAATAATGGTTTCTGATGATATAAAAATTCATTAAGCATTATTTTCAATATTGTTCAGAATTGTCTAGTGGGATGTAATTTAGATCAGGAATGAAAAGCATTGTTGTTGTTGTTGTTGTTGTTTTTTAGCCAGACTCAGTTCCCTATGTTCTATGTCTTTTTCCCCAACTATTTTACCCTCCTGAAATGTTACCCTCACCTACCCCTCCTTTTCCTCATAGAACTACATCTACAACCTATTCATCCTTCCAAACACATGTTATAAGACCCCTGGTCCACCACACTTTTTTGAAGCTCCCAGCTAGAGCGATCACTTCCTCGACCTCCCAGCACAGCTTTCTGAACCTTTCCTTATTGAGCCGCTCAGCCTTCTCTTGCATTGGGATTGAAGTGCATCTCCATGTCCTTGTTAGCTTACACATTTCTTAAGACCAGGGCCTGTGTCTGCCTCATTTGAGCAGCTACGAAAGCACCTTGAACACAGGATGTCATGGTTGAATGTGCAAAGATACCTTGAGCACAGCTCTGCAGTTCTGCATGACCAGTCCTCACAGACCTGGTAATGGTTCATCTCAGACTAATGCTACCTTGTTCCTCAGTCATTGCAAAGTGATGCAGGCCTAGAAACAAAATTTCAAAGGGAAATCTACTTTTCACACCTCTTTGTATTACACCTTCTGCCTTCTCTAGCTTCTCCTAGGACCTATCTCTTTTGTCTCTCAAATGCCTTCACAGATTTCCCCATTCTCACAAATAACTCAGTTGATATCTCCTTCTCAAAATGCTAGGTATTAGCCAAAACTGGTTTGGCTCAGTGGATAGAGCGTCAGTTTGGAACTGAAAGGTCCCAGGTTCAATTCCGGTCAAAGGCATGTACCTTGGTTGTGGGCACATCCCCAGAAGGGGGTGTACAGGAGGCAGCTGATCAATGTTTCGGACTCTCTATCCCTCTCCTTTCCTCTCTTTAAAAAATTAATAAGATATATATATATTTTTAAAATGCTAGCTGTTAGGAGACATTCTAATTTAGCCAGCTGATCAGCAATGAAAATATATATATATATTAAATTGAAAAAAAAAATATATATATATATATATATAAAATTGATTTTTTTATGGAGAGGGATAGAGAGTTAGAAACATCGATGAGAGAGAAACATTGATCAGCTGCCTCCTGCACACCTTCCACTGGAGATGTGCCTGCAATCAAGGTACATGCCCTTGACCGGAATTGAACCTGGGACCCTTCAGTCCCCAGGCCAACGCTCTATCCACTGAGCCAAACCGGTTAGGGCAGTAATGAATATCTTAAGTAGTCCTTCACTAACTCTTCATGGGACAATACCAACAGTTTAAAAAGAAAAAAATTCAGACATTGTGAAGAAGGAGACATTTGGGGATGAGTATGAGAAGGCTGGAAGTGTGTATGGGAAGGTGGATTACAGCCTGTGTTCTCCTTCCTCTTCTGATAAGAGGAACCTTAGTGCTGCTGGGATAAGTTTGTTAGTCCAAGTTGGACCTGGTAAAAAAAGGGAAATAGGTGAAATGCAAGTCCAGGCTGCTCTGCCGCCCTTCACTGCTGATGTCTAAATTAGCTTTTAGAAGAGAGAGCAACCCTGTCATTACTACTGTGTCTGAGAAATCTTAAATTTTGAGTCATACAGAACTAAATACTAAGCATTGTATATTTGCTTCTTCAAATTTATTGCTCTTGAAATAAAGATATCAGATCATAAAGCAGAGTTGTCTATTCATAATTTTGATGAAATGTTGATCAGAGTGCTTGAGTTTTAGTCCTAGCTGTCCATCATTGGACTTTGTATCCTTGGACAAGTTGCCCCTTCTCTGGGTCTCGGTTTTCTCCTCTCAGCAGTGAGAAGTCAGGCATTGTACACACTGGGGTGAGTCTGGGAAGTGACCTGTAGAGTGGGTGTGGGAATAAAAGTTAAGTAGAAACTCAGGATAATAAAGGCACAACTATTAATTAACTTGTTTTGTATGGTTATTAAAACATAGGTGTTATTTCTATTGAGGTTTCTACATGTATTAGCTAGTTCTAATCTAGTACATACACTGCATTGTCCATTTTATTAACTATGGATCTTATTTAGCATTAATAATTAGTCATAAAATACTTAGTCATTTATAAATTCTTTGCCCTTTAAATTTAGTGCATGTTTAATGGTGGCCACCACATACACATCACTGTAATAGGATTCCCAGAGTTGAGTTTCACAATCTAATAAATTAATTGCAGTTTGGGATTGCCAAAAAACACGCATCAAATTGAACAACTTTTCAAAGCCAAACAAAACACTAACCTTCCTCAGCCCTAAATAAGTGTTTGGACATGTTGTTCTCTTCCAGAAGGGTGGTTTGTTTACCAGCAGAGGAATGAAGTTCACAATAACTGTGGCATCGAGATCTACTACCAGACAGACATGCAGAGCACCTCGGAGAACATGTTCCTGGAGCTCTTCTGTCAGATCATCTCCGAGCCCTGCTTCAACACCCTGCGCACCAAGGAGCAGCTGGGTGAGGGCGGGCGGGAGGGGCACACCGTGAGCTCAGATTAGAGAAGATGTTGAGGGGAGGTAGTCGTACATGGGGTTTAATCTCTAGAGATTTCCAGTTGCATGTGGTCTAGGAGTGGGTTATTTAACAAAATTCTATGGTGGAAGCAATTTCATATCAGAAACTTGGATGTGAAAGGCAACAGTGACAGGACAGTGGACAGGGATGGAATAACTTTAATATAGACTGAAAAGGAGTAACCAGCAGATAACTAGGAGTTGTGGGATGTTGAGCTGAATGATGAATAGAGTTCTTTTTTGTTTTATTTTTGTATTAAAAAGGAAGTGTTATCGCTACCTTTTTGACTATTCTTTAGAGAGCTCTTCTGTTTTGTCCTGAAGATACTTTAATTATTCATATTTCTTCAGAGATTAATAATATAGAACCATAAAGTGGATTTTATTTGTTCCGACAGCATAATTTTTGAAAGATTAAAAATCTGAGTCTTGCCCTAGCCAGCTTGGCTCAGTAGATAGAGCATCAGCCTTCGGACTGAACGGTCCCAAGTTTGATTCCGGCCAAGGGCACATGTCTGGGTTGCAGGCTCGATCCCCAGTGGGGGGTGTGCAGCAGGAGGCAGTGGATCAATGATTCTCTCTCATCATTGATGTTTCTGTCTCTCCTTCTCCCTTCCTCTCTGAAATCAATAAAGAAATACATTTTTTTTTTTTTTTTTTTTTTTTTAAGTCTGAGTCTCAGATACCCAGGTCCTGACTGACTGGTGTTTATGTTTCAGGTTATATCGTCTTCAGTGGTCCACGTCGAGCCAATGGCATACAGGGCTTACGGTTCATCATCCAGTCTGAAAAGCCTCCTCACTACCTAGAAAGCAGAGTGGAAGCTTTCTTAGTCACCATGGAAAAGTCCATAGAGGACATGACAGATGAGGCCTTCCAAAAACACATTCAGGCGTTAGCAATTCGCCGACTAGACAAACCAAAGAAACTGTCTGCAGAGTGTGCTAAATACTGGGGGGAAATCATCTCCCAGCAATACAATTTTGACAGAGGTAAGGCAAAATGAGGGCCCCAGCATTCATGGCATGTACACATAACTTTCAAGGACATTGAGGCCATTCATTTTGTAGGTGATGGTCTAGTACTGATTTGGGAGGGAGTGGGGGCACAGCACTTCTAAAAAACCATTCTTCTATTTAATAAAAGCCTAACATGCAAATCAACCAAACAGCGGGATGACCAGTGGAACGACTGGTCGCTGTAATGCGCACGGACCACCAAGGGACAGATGCTCAATGCAGGAGCTGCCCACGGGCCCTAGGCCAGCAAAGGCGAATGCCAACAGGGCCCCCTCGATCACCCTGCCTGTCACCCCACAGTATTGCCCTGATCACTGGCCAGGCCTAGAGACCCTGTGAGTGCACAAATTTTGTGCACCAGGCCTCTAGTTTAACATAACTTTTCTATTGAAAACTTTATTTTTTTTTCTTCTCTGAAGTTAGAGCTGGATCTACCTGTATCTCATATTAACACACTAATAATAAATCTTATTTCACTTTTTTGTGCTCAGTCACTCTGCCCTGAGACTCTGAGCATGGATATGTAGGCATCTTATCTCATAACACTGAAAAAAAGAACAATTTGCAGATTCAACTCCCTTGAGGCAGTGCTGCCCTGGAGGCACGTGTTCAAACATTTGCCTTTAGGGATCTCCAAAAATGTGTCAGGGCTTTTAGATTCCGGAAAGCTATGCTCCCCAGAGCCCCTGCTTACCGGCTTCCTGCCACCTCTCTTCTCCAGCGGAAATAACAATGGGATGTGCTAGCTACACTGAGAATCAGGAGAGTTGGGTTGTGTTCTCGTTCTGATACCGATAAGCTGAAGATCTTGACCAGCTCATCTTTATGGGCCCCTATTTCCTTACCTGTAATATTTCAAGCTGTTGTATTCACTACTAATATAGTACTGACCTTTTACTGAGCATTTGCCAGGTGCCCTAACTATCTGTTATTATTTATTATCATTTTTATTCTCACTACAGCCCTGTTAATAGTCATTAGACCCAATTTCCAGATGAGGAAACTGAGGCCCAGAAAAGTGGAAATGACCTGCCCAAAACCCAACAGCTCAAATGTAGAAAGCCAGGATATCCTCTTAACATTTTACTTGAAATTTATTCCCTTACCACTTGTAGGAGCAGATGATTGCTTAAAAACGTGGAAACTCAGGAGTGTTGAAGCGAAGTATACTGTCACTTCATATAGTATTCTAGGCTACTTAACATGGGATTATTAGTAAATTATTGTATGATTACTTTTTCAGACAATACAGAAGTTGCATATTTAAAGACACTTACCAAGGAAGATATCATCAAATTCTACAAGGTAAATTTAGTTTCTATATTTAGATTTTGACCGATAAGGAAATATTGTATGTGCTATGTTATGTGCTTGTTGCTGCTTTTAACCCATTTGGGCAGAATGTATGAAGGAATTTTAATGTGGGGGTAATTTGGACATATTACTGTTAGAAAAAAGAGACAATTGATATGGAACCCAGGGATCAGGAACTGTGAGGCACATTATGGCTTTAGGATTCATCTCTTTACTCCCTTTTGTTTCTTATCTCTGTTCCCACCCTAAGCCCACAAGGAACATTCCTGAGCTTATTTGGTGGGAAGCAAGAGCAGATACTCTCTGACAACCATAAATTTTCTTCACCCTTTTAGGTGCCACTGTGGCTGCTTCTTTAGATAAATGATCACTGACTCTACCTTTGAACGTTTTTTAATCCCAGCTGAGGTACTTATTAGGCGTAGGGGTTTGATCACATCACCTAATCTCCTTGGACGCATTTGTGAAATGGAGTGGAGAATAATTCTTGCCTAAGGTTTGCAGAGTTTAAATAAAGGACTGCAAGTATGGAGGAAGGAAAGAAAGCGGCCTCTTCCTTGCTGTAAGAGCATCTTTTTGTCCCTCCGTGGGACGGAAGGTGACTCGACTATTCTCTCTGCCTAGGAAATGTTGGCAGTGGATGCCCCCAGGAGACATAAGGTGTCTGTCCATGTTCTTGCCAGAGAAATGGATTCTTGTAAGTATTGAATATTGACTTTTTAAAAACATGTATGTTTTTAAGCCCCTGTAGCTGTCTCTTGCCATAGCCACGTCCTTGCCATAGCCACGGAGCACCAGGAAGTAAAGAAGTGCAGAGGGGAGCCGGCGGGAGACAGGGTCCGCTCTAGCAAAGCCAACAGAGAGGGAATGAGGCAGCAGAGGAGAGCGCCGACCAGGTGGCACAGTGCTAGGCTGGCCACGGTGCTGTGAGAAAGCACAGCTAGTGGCGGGTGGGACATCCCGAGGAAGTTGTATGGAGCATTGTGGGAAGGGGAGAGGGAGAGGGGCATCTGCTCAGCCCTGCTCGTCTCCTGCCTCTGATTGGCCAAGTTTGCCCCCAACCAATAAGTCCTGCTGCTTTCTTGGCTGTTTTGGTGGCCAGAGCTTCAGGGTCCAGTGAGCTCAGATCTGGGCACTAAAATTGCTGCGTTAGTAACCATGGCAACAACATGAGCCATCACTGGGACTCCAAGTAGGAGGCAGGACAGCAGGCAGGGCTCGGGGAGCAGGCAGCTGAGAGGATCTGAGAAGCACACGAACCAGGTCTGGTACAGCTGTGCAATGAGCTGAGTCTGGTTTCGATTTTATTTTTTAAAGTTGCTCTTGTGTGCTAGTCCCAGTCAGTGCAAAGCACTGACTGAACCCTTCGTTTTCTTATAGGTCCTGTGGTCGGAGAGTTCCCGTGTCAGAATGATATAAATCTGTCACAAGCACCACCCTTGCCACAGGTAAGAATGTGAATGTTTTGTTAGGTTGCACTGTTAGAGGACTTATTACCTAGAAGGAGCCGCTGGTTAGGACGTGTAAGACCTCGTGGCTTCAGGTCACCGGCTGTTTGAGCCTCTGCTTTAGGTCTCTCTTAACGGCCAGGCCCCTGCTCCTCCTGACAGCCCCAGGGTCCTTACCTTTGCATTTTCAGCTGCACAGAGACTTAGCCTCTGCTCTTGCCTGCCTTTGCCTCTGGCTTACAGTTGTGTTACTCTGCAGCGCGCCATGTCCAGCCACTTTGGCCCCAGTCTCTTTCGCAGTGCCTGCGCATTTTAACCGTCTGGAAGGGCTGGCATTTAATTACAGGAAGAGGAAAACTGGCCATATAGCCAGGCTCTTGCTGGGTGGGCACACGCGCCGCTGGCACTCTGCTGAAGTCTTGGCACTGAGCCCCTGGTGTGCCAGCCCCAAGAAAGCCAGGGTCTTCCTTCCGGCCCAGAATCTCACGGGGGCATTCCCACAGGTTTGTGTAGATCCTCTGACCTGCTGACCCGGGAGGAAAGGTCAGCAGATCATAATCTATGGGGTAGAAACTAGTGTATGAAAAGAAAAGAAAAATGTCTGGATCCTGCTCAGTCTGCTTTTCAGGCTAAAGGCACTAAGAGACAACTTATTTCCTTTGCAGCCTGAAGTGATTCAGAACATGACCGAGTTCAAGCGTGGCCTGCCGCTGTTCCCCCTCGTGAAGCCACACATCAACTTCATGGCTGCGAAGCTCTGAGAGCCCACGTGGCAGAGTGCGGCGGACGCAGCCCCGGGCTTCCAGGCTAGGACACAGTCTTGGCCACTTGAAGAGTTTCTGGTTCATTGTTAGCGACACACACGGGAAAAGAGATGGTGTCAGATGTCATTATGTAGAAACATTAAAAATCCAGAGTAATTAAATTACAAGATCTTATAGATGTAGAGTATTTTTAAAATACATGCCTCTTAAATATTTAAAAATTTTTCATTACTAAGAGAAATTCCCTTATATAACAATGCTTAAAATGATGAATGATATTCCTTTAGAACCTTCCTTCTCTGTTCTGTAAAATAGTTACTTATTAGAAGGAAATGTTACCTTTTTTCTAAAAGCCTCCTAGGCTGACAGCAAAGGCTTCCAAACAGGTAGAAAGAAAGGTAATACCTTTTTAAACAGTGATCCTTGAACTTGCTTTCTACCTGATGGTTTCAAGTAAATCAATGGAGAACATTACATTTGGCAGATAATGAACAAAGCAATGCAATTTTCTTTCCTTAGTGAAATTGCTGAACATAAGGCATGATTTTAATCTTTTTATAAAATTTGAACAGGTTTTTTATTCAAACTAGTCATGCTGGAAAACCCTAGAATACCCTACTTTATAGTGCTAGAAACACAGACTCACCTTACATCAATTTTGTCCCAAACTGAATTTCTCAGGATTACTGTGATTTGTTTCTTTCTGATTGAACTATATCGACATTCTTGTTGTTCGCCGTTGGTTTGTGGTGTTCCATCAGTTTTACTTTTCCTCATCAACATATTACTGTATTTAACAAGTACAAATAGGGTGAAACTCAGATCCCACTGAGTGTGTGACATGCTTTTCCAACATCAGCTCGTGTAGACACCTGTCACTTTTTATTACCGCGAGTGGCAGTGAGTATATGAACCAAGATATTTGCCCCATTGTGAATGGGAAAGGCAACAAGCCACCTTTTGGAGGTATAAAAACATATAAAGTCTTGGATTCTCTACTCGCATGATCTCCATAGAACCCCAAAATCCATTTTTACTGCCGGTCTAAAAGTCCCATAAGCATTAAGTTATTTTTTTATATGTAAATCTAAACATATAAACACACAAATGATGACTGCAGTGGACTTTTAAAAAATATTTTTCTCATAAGATACTATTTTAAGTGGAATTGTTACTATAGCTTTAACAGCTGTTTTGAAATATTTGCTGTTATTAAAACTTCAAGAGAAATTGTGACCACCTTCCACACACAGGCACCTGTACCAACAGAGGCCCTGCTGTCCACCGACTCAGGCAGAGTAAGGAGTGGCATTTCCCAGTGGCCTGTTACCTCCACAGGAGCCCACTGGGCAGGATTTCTTTCTGTAGAATCATGTCTTTTCACATCTTCAGTTTTCACATTTTCCAAGTAACCCAAATTTGGGGCGAGAGTGATACAATCACTGCTGCGGAGGCTGCTTAGGAAGCGGGGCTCCATTTCCGTCACATAAACGTGGTGCTGCAACTGTGTCTCTCCCTCCCCTCACGGGCTTCCACGTGCGAAGCCAGTCTCGGTCCATCAGAAGGTGCGTGAGTCATCACTTCCTTCTGGTTTTATGCATTTGTAGACTATGCAGCTTTTCAACGAATATACAAGAGGAATCTAAAATCAGTGAGTGTTCGAGTCCACCACTATAAGGGTGAATAGCCGAGTCACTTTAAGCTCCTGTTAAAACAAACAAACAAAAAAAGGGTGAAATTCAAGTTATTTTTATGAGCAAGTCACATGAAAAAATCTGAAAGGAATGGCATGTGGTCTTCCGGGGACTAGTATTGGGTGTGCTCCAGCATCAGCTGGTTTCCAGATTGGATGGAGAGCTACCATTGGCTCACTCAGCATACTAATGGATCCATGTAGGTGGGTCCACGCTGCAGTCCAGGAACAGTATCGGACAACCCAGGTTCTGTATCCCCATCCTATTTACTCAGAGCTTAGTAAAGATCTGCGAGACAAACTAAGTTCCCTGCGACACTTGAGAAGTCTTCTGAGCTAGTTGATCTGGAAGAGCGAGCATGTGGCACAGCCAGGGTGGTGGACTGCGAGGGTCACCCTGTTTACAATAAACCGCCTGGATTTAACCTCTGCCGTCTGCGTCTGTATTATTTTTACTGTTTCTGCCTCTCAACATCCCGATTTGACAGTGTTTCCTGCTTTCGTTGTTCCTACTGCAGAAAGCAGTGGATTTTTTGTTTTAAGTGTACCTGGTCGCATGATTGAGTCAAATAAATGGGTCAGTTTCACATTCTTAAGAGTAGATGGTTTTTGTGAATAAGAATCTCCACGTGAGAAGCTGACCTCCTTGCTATGAGTATTGTCAGAGTCCAAACCCAGAAAGATTTGTCCCCGGCATTACAGAGAAGATGAAAAAAAAGATTAGAAAAACAAAATGTCTCTCCTCTCCTCGACAGCTGGTCTTTGATCTTACCATGCCTCCAGCTGCAGGCTAGGCAGATACCTGTGCAGCCCTGGCCTCCGACTCCCTTTCAAGATAATCTTTCTGCTCACGTGCTTGTCAGCAGGCTCAGACCCGCACTTCGGAAGGGGATCTGCTTGTCCCGAAGTTTCAAGCCACAGAAGGTGGTGCAGCTCCCAAGCATTGTGCTCGGTGGTGCTGCAGTCCCATGAGAATCCTCGGTCCCCTTCTCAAATTCTCCAGTCCAGTTTCTTGAAATATTTATGTTTTTCTGATCTCCCTTTTGTAAGCGTGGCTCCTGCCCTCGGAATGCTCCCTGCCAGGGCCCTGGCCCAGGTGACTCCTAGATCCCTGTTCCGTGCTGCCTGTCACATGAAGTTCCTTTATTGTCCTGGTCACCCTGAACATCGGACGCTCCATCGTTTCTTGTGGCAGAGCTTCTCGGTGCTATTGGGTTGTTACTTTTCTCATCCAAGTCCAACTCTTCAAAGACGTTCCGGCAGTTTGGACAGCTCATAGCCGGCATTAACCTTGACGTTATAAGTGGAAAGCACTTGGTAGATTACAGACCACCTTCACAGACATCTTCCACAGGAATCTCGCTGTGGGAGGACTGGGATTAAAGTGATCAGAGGTGAACAGAGGCTCCAGACAGCTAAGTCATGTGGCCAGGATCAGGCTGGAGGCACAGATTCAAGCTTCCACTCCGATCTTTAAACTCTGCACCTCATTCCCTGTAATAATAGCTACCATTCCATTCATGCACTTTTGGAACAAAGTAGGAAGCCCGGTGCTTTTCTGAAACTTTACCTTTCACATAAGCCAGCTCACTCTCCCAACCTTTGCCTGTTCAGTGGGGAGTGAGGCCGGATCTCAGAGTCTGGGCGCTTCTCCCCCAGCTCACTGTTCCCCCCTCTGCTGGGCTACCCCGTGGCCAGCCGCCACCCCCTCCCCCCCATTGGGTTAATCCAGGTCTGCTAATCTCAGTCCATGCGAGCTCTCCCTGTTGCCTCTGAAGTGGTGAGTGTCTGGAACCTCCTTCAGGAAATTCAGCAAAGGAGGGTGAAGAGCCAGTCTGACTCCAGCACTCAGAGACACTACATGTGCATTGAGTTCATGTGCAGTCTTTTTCCTGTGCACACAGAAGGGGATCATTTGGTGTGGCAACTTTTTCCTTCAGTATTCTCCCTGTAATGAGAATTTCCCACATGGATGCTCTGGGAAATAAAAAAGTGATCTTGTTAGTTTTGGGTGTTTGGTGTGTCCTATTACACTGTAGTTTGTTTATCGAATCTTCTTTGTGTTTTGTGGGATGTTTAGGGTATTTTCAAACTTTGTTCTGTGATAAACTCCTGGTGCAGAGTATGCATGTGACCTGATTGTTACCTTAAATTGCTGGGTTTCATGGTCAAGGAAGCGAAGATTCCGTGTGAGCTTTCATTTTGGCTTTCGTTTCAGATCATTGTCCACCAGATGGAGACAGAGCTCTGCACAAAACCCATTCCGTGACTTCACAGCTGCAGCCTCTCCCGTTTATGTAATGTACCAACCAGGGCAAGCCTGTGGGAAGATAGAGAAAATGATCTTCGGTATTGCTGCTTGCCAACCAAAGATATTCTTGCCACCACTGGGGAAAATTCTAGGAACTAACTTGAAAGAGAACATGGATGATACGTCTTATTAACCCAATTAATTGGTCTAGCAATTAGAATATTTTCAATTCTTTTCCTAGCTCACTTTGAAAAAATAGACCATATAAACTGATATCAATAGACCATATAAACTGGAAAAAAAAATTTTTAAAGGATGGTATTCATATATTATGGAGTGGAAATTTCTGAAATAAAATCACTTGTAAATAGAAATCAACATCAGCATGAGTAAAATAGCTTAAGCTATGCTCACAAATATTTTGGGAAATATGCAGATGCAATAACATAACTTAGATTTATTTTTAAGTCTGAAGTACTTATTGGCAGTCTCAACTTTCTTGCTCCCACCTTTGCCAAGCTCTCTCTCAGACAGTGAGAGAGCTACAGGGTGATCTCTGTCCCCTTGTAGCTGGAGGTGGTCAGCGAAATGGAGGCAGAAACCAGAGGGGGGCTTCCCTTCCAGAATAAAATAACAAAGGGAGTACAAGAGTTATTTTTCTCTCTCCCCTCCTTCCCCCCACTTCTGCCCCATCTTCTTGGGGGACAAAACTTGGAGGTGGAAGGACCATCCCTGCTCCTGAGATGACAAATGTGGGGATGAAGCCAATATAAGGATGGCAGAGACGGCAGGCAGGGGAGCCTGGATCCTTCCTTGATGAACATTATCATCAAGGAAGTTTGGCTCAGTGGATAGAGTGTCAGCCTATGGACTCAAGGGTCCCAGGTTCGATTCAGGTCAAGGGCATGTACCTTGGTTGCGGGCACGTTCCCAGTAGGGTGTATGTAGGAGGCAGCTGATTGATGATTCTCTCTCATCGATGTTTCTAGCTCTCTATCCTTCTCCCTTCCTCTCTGTGAAAAATCAATAAAATATATAAAATTTTCTTTTGCG